ATAGTAGGAAATACACAGTACTCACTATTGTTATCTTCTAAATAGTTGCTCAGATGACTGACTTCAGGCTTACAAAGTCGATCAAGCAATACAAGCATTAGGTTGTTTCTTTAGTTGTTATCTTCTCAGCCTCTGTTCCTCCAAATCAGCCTTGCTCACAGCAGTCAGGGGCAGTTTTCTCTCCCAGCCAGCCTGCCAGCTGACTCATGGGGGCCTCCTTTCTGTTTCTCCCCAGCCAGTAGGCTCTTCTATGTTTTTTTAATGAGTCTTTTACTTTATAGGGTGTGCAGTTTGGAATCCAACACACATAGAGGATGGATACATAATCACTGTGAGTTTCTGATTAAGTCTTCTCAGATGTGACCTATCTTGTTTCCACACCTATTTTGACCTATTTTGTTTTTGTGTGTGAATACTAGATCTTACCTTGCCTTTCCCCCTCAGCATGAGTGATCAGTGGTATTCAACCCGAGGCTGTAGTAACCCTAGCAGCTCCCACTTTCTCCACCCCAAGTCTCTGCCTAGTTCAATGGACTTTGATTTTTGTAGTACCCTCCCTGCCACCCCAGAGACCACTCTGGCTATAAACCTCATGCTGCTGCTAGCTGAGGTATGTCCTTGGTCACACTGGTAGATGAGGAAAGCAAACAGACTGTTGACCTCTGTGAAGGCAGTGTGGGAGGTTTAAGCAGATCATTGGTCTTAATGCGAGCACTTTCAGATCCAGCCACCTGTAAAAGGCCCACGTACTGTGCCTGGCTTCTCACTGTGGATGGCAGGGCTCCATGTCCTTCTTGGCTGAGCTTAAACTTCTCATGGGGTCTATGTCCAGCTTACTGCAACTCTGCAATTGTCTTCCATGCCCATCTCCCATCCAGTCCTATGGCAGGATGACGCCAGACATTCTGCAGCTGCTCTGTGGCTCAGTCCCAAACAATTAACTTCTCCCCAAGATGATTTCTGATTAAATAATCCAGATATTGCAGTTTCTGAACTGGATTTCTTCTCCAACTCCAGTCTGCCTTGTGGGAAGAGTCACTTTCAGAGTAAAACACCATACTGTTTTTATAGTTAACTATAGTTGGGGGCTTCTCTCGGACTTTTTAGCCAAGTGCTACTGACTTGGTTTCCTTTCTTCTTGGAGTCACTGTCCCTCTTCTAGATTACTCTGCATCAGCGAAGGCAGGTAACCTTCTCTGGGAATTGGGGTGAGCCTTCCAGTTTCTGGTTTTCCTATCAGCTCTCTCCTAAATCCTGGAGATTCACCATTTTTTCCCTTCTGTTCCCTAAACTGTTACCTTTCAGATGGCTCAACTCCAGGTTCCAGAGAATCCACAGTTCAATACCCATCTCTACTTTGCCATCGTGAATCCTTTAAAAGAGTCCTGTAGTAAACCCAAAGACAACAGGGCAGACCAAAGTAAGGACAGCAGAAGAAATTTTATACTTTGATACTACGGCTACAGCAAATACTAAACATATCCTGACTGTTGACTAGAAAAACATAAAACCTCACACTAACAGCCATGGTAACTGATTTTCTTTTATCTGGACACATCATGTGCAGCTTTTAATAACAGCAAACTTTACACAACATACTAAAATACAAAAAATCCACAATCTGAATAGATGAAAGAGTATCAGAACAAGACTCAGCTATGGTAGAGATTTGAGAAGAGGCCTCTAAAGAGTCTGATTAACTCCATTCCTTGGGAGGAAGTGATTTATTTTTTCTTCCTGACTCTGTGCTCCTAGATAAATATCTCTAAAGTTGGACCTGCTAATTCTTCCTCCTAAAGTCACATTAATGCTCTTTTAAAATTTATTAGTACATATTTTCAGTACATAATGTTTACATTCCCGTGTGGAGTTGGTATGTGTATATAACACATTTTAATTCCCTGTTTCATCCCTGCTGTCTTCTGAATCTAGGCTTTTATGCCTCTTGGATTATGTAATCTAAAATTTCCCTGATTTTCGCTCTGCCCACTCTACCCACATTACACATTGTTCCAGATTGATTATTCTTCAGCATCAATTATCATCTGACAGCCCCATGTGTAAATAAGACTAAAATTCTCAAGAATTAAGTCCAGGCAAACCTCGGGACCTCTCTCTCTCTCTCTCTCTCTCTCTCTCTCTCTCTCTCTCTCTCTCTCAGGCAGAAGCTTTCTTTCTCTCAATAAATATATTCTGCTCTAAAAAAATAAAAAGAATTAGTCTAAACTCCTGGACCTAGTCCCCTAAATGAGCCCTCCATTCTAGTCCAGCCCCTCCCCTGCTTCCTGCCCCCACTTCCATGCAATAGGTCTTATTATCTTACCTTATCATATGAGGCAATTGAGGCCCAAAGAGTTGGAAATCATATTTATGCTTGTGTAATGTCATGGCCTGTTTTCTCTTTTTAATTATGAGATAATTTTTAAGTATCTCATTCATTTCATCATTATCTACCCAAAAAAAGTTATAGTGCCTCTGTTTTGTGTCATACATTATAGTATGTCTTATAAGAGAATTAAAAATGAATTAGATACAAACTCAGGCCTCAAAGGATCTTGAGATATGCTTTTTTATACTACCACTTCTCTTTTTGTTTATTTTATGTATTTCCTTGCTAGTGCAGGTTGATCATGTCTATATTGAATATAGTAAATCTACAGCACTTCTGGTGCCACGCATTTCAGATAAGGAATAAGCAACCTGTATAATCTAACCATATATGAACATAGTGAAGGATCTTTCCCATTGGGCTATAAGTCTGTGAAATTGGAGATGAGAGGTCTATTTTAAACACTTCTACATTTTTTAGTATTTGGCATAATACGTGGACATAATAGTCTGAGAAAATGTACAGTTTCTCCACATTCTCACATAACACTTCTAACAAAAATGTGCAGATTTTTTCCACATCCAGTAATTCTTCAACTCTCCAAGCATTAGCTAGGTATCCTATAATGACTTCAATTCTGACATTATCTATTTAAAGTAGCATAAGACCCCATATGTTGAGAAATAAATTCCACATGCCATCTCTAGGCATATCCTCCCAGCACTTCAGATATTTCTAGCAACCAGAAACTCCCTTGATCTTGTTATTCAAGAGTTTTATGGAGCTTAAGTCTTAGCACCCAGAAAGGCACCCTCCCCACCAGCAACTTCCTAGAAATTGGTGTTGAAATGAATGTACCACTAATCATTAGGCAGATAAAATTTAGACATTAGCAAACCTGAGGGACACCTGGTGGCAAGATTAACACACATGGCCAATTGAGTAAAGAAACAAATACATCGATATATAATTATTTATAATAATGTGTTAGCTCTCAACTAAAATGATCCAATAGAGCACAATGGTATTATAAGATTATATACTGTGCATAGTCCTGATACTTGGTCATTTAGTTCCACAACAAGACTTACAGCGTTCCTGGCTATCATATCCAACAGCTCAAGAATATCAGGAAAAGAAATGTTCTTTAAAGTTCCTCCTGCCTTGGGTGGGGCCTAGTCTGAATTAAGAACTGATCCTTTGTAAATTTTTTACATGATTAAAGCCCTTGAGGAAATATTGACCATCTAAAAAGGACAGAAAGACATTTTACTGTTCCAAAGTAACTTCTAAGTAAAATGTTAGTTGATACCCACCATAATTATTCTAGTTCCCTAAGAGTAACTTTCATGTGCATAAAAAGTTGTCCAAAATAAAAGGTATCCATATTTGCACTCCAGGGAGATGCCTTCATGGCCCTGTCGCTTAAAGATATAACTCTTTATATATCTATTTTACAATGAATACTACTGATACTTTTCATAGCCACCCATATGTCTTGATCGACTTCTTTCATCAAAAGTACAAAGAGTTGAGGACCAAGGAAGTGAAAGGCCATCTCATAGCTGCATCAGGAGCAAGCTTCCTATAACACTAGTCATTTGATCTTTTAGGTAAACAGCCCCATCCTGGGATTTTATAGGGGCTCCACCCCAAGTCACCTCCATAGCATATTGTCAGGTGTGATTGAGAGGGGTTCATTTTAAATCATAGAAGATGTTTTTTCTGAAAGTCCCAAGGATTTTAGGAGCTCCATGCTAAGAATCAAGATGTATTTGTTATTATACCACAAGTATGTACTCAAGAAATATTTGATGAGACAAATGAATAAATGAGTGCATGAATGAAATAACATTAAAGGGAGTGAGAATGTAGAAAGAGATGAGGGAAAAGAATGAGAGACTGAAGTTCTCTATTTCCATATTTGAAGATTCCCAAAGGAAATGCTGTTTAAATGTAGCAGTTTTGGAGAAAGAAGGAATTTACCACTGTCAGAGCTTAGCTGATGATCAGGAGTTAACTTTTTCCCACGTTGAATGTATGACTTATCGGGCTGATTGATAGACCCTGTGCAGTGCCCCCACTCCCATACCAGGAAAAGAGGACTTCAGGTCCAAGTTTTCAAGTTCAATAGCCTTTTCTTTTTTGCCTCAAAAGAAAATTTCTTAAGCACAAGATATTTCCGTTTTTCACTGGCATCTCTGAAGTGTGCCCAGAGAAACAATAATATCACACGCAGGAAGGCAAGAGCCTGCAATGGCAGGGAAACAGGAACTGTCCCCACAGATGTCCTCCCCAGGGGAGACAGCCAGAAGCTGGGAACAAGCACTGTGTGAAAAGGAAAGTCATGTTTTACTAGAGGCTCCAGGCTTAGGGGCTGGCCCTTCCCAGCATTCAGCACAACCCCCAGCCCCAAATCTGGGAACAGGACGTTAGTCTTACACACACACACACACACACACACACACACACACACACACAATTGTTTTGCAAAATCTGACCAGGGTGTTTTATACTACAGGGTGAATTCCAGCTCCTAGCACAGAGCCACATCCTCACGAGAAAAGTAACCATTTCTCTCTTGAGTTCATCTACATAAACCCAGCTCAAACCTAGCTGCCTAGCTCATTTTCACCAAGCTCATGCCAAGCCCAGTCTCAGCATAACTCACCCTTCTTTTCTTCTTCCACATATTTCTCCAGTCCTCTCTGATTAATGGTCTTCCTCATAGGTCCATAACCAAGAACATCTCAACCAGTGTTGCCCTCTCTCACGTTCTAATTCTAGTAACACTTCCTGTCTTTTAGTGCTTCCTCATCTTTTTTCATGAAATGGAAATATTTGTACAGCAAATGAAACCAGTGTCAGCAATGACAACTAAAATAGGAACTCCAGATGCCCACAGGACAGGAGGGATCAGTATCTTACAACTTACAGGCAAGCTCATTTATACAAACAGCCTAATTTCGTTGCTGAGCATTCTGCAAGCCATTTGAGGAACTAGAAAAGAAGTATAAAATAAAGTCTTTGCCTTTAAAGAGCTTCCATGTGGGCCAAGAAAAGAACCAGAAAATCAGCCTGCCCTTCCCACAAGCCAGTGCCAGCCAGCTGTGGGCTGGGAGACAAAAAGAGCCTGCCCCCTCCACCCCTGACAGGCAACCAGCTGATTCCAAGGAACACAAGCTTGGATGATAGCAACTAAGGTACAAAAACAATTTGATGCTTTCATTGACTGATTAACTTCGCAGGCCTGAGGCTGGTAGTCCGAGCATCTGCTTAGAGTATAACAATATGCAGCATAGCAACTATGGGGGATTTCCTTCTGTTTCATCCTTGAAATTCAGCATCATTCCCACTGTTTTGTTTTGTTCTGTCTTATTGTTTTGTTTTAGTCCCTTCAAACTAAAAAATAAGGAGCTTTCATGCTAGTTGAAGAAATGAAAATAATATGTACATGCACAATCATAGGAAGAATATGACTTTTGGCATCAATGGCATATATAAATTCAAATTCTGGCCTTACTACTCACTTGCTGTATGAATGTAGGCATGGTAATAGCTCTCTGACCTTAATTTTTCCATCTGTATAGTAGGAATAATAAACACCTACCCTCAGAGTAATGTGTTTGTAAATCGCTTATATTGAAGTATGATTTGCATATGATAAATTTCACCCACTAAAAGCCTACAATGAAGCAAGTTTTCATAAAAGTGTACAGTCATGTAACCACCATGTAACCAAGAAATGGAACATTTCTGTCAGCCTTAAAATTTCCTTCTAGCATCATTACAGTCAATACCCATTCCCCCATTCTTTGCAACCTGATTACTGTAATTTTGTATTTGCTAGATTCCCTATAAACAGAATTGCCATTATATTCCTACCCCTTGTTCCTTAAGAGGGAGAACTAATACAATCAAAATGGCCATAATTCCAAAATTGATATTTAACACAATCTCAAATACCAACAGCATTCTTCATAGAACTGGTGAAAACTATCCTAAAATTCATAAGAAACCAAAAAAATACCTGGAATAGAAAATACATACTGAGCAACAAGAACAAAGCACAAGGCATTACAATCCCAGACTTAAAAGTTATATTGCAAAGCTATAGTGATTAAAAATAGCATACACTGGCACGAAAACAGACATGAGGATTGATGAGGCAGAATAAAAGATGGAGGAAGAAACCCTATGCACATTCAACTTTTTCACTTTTGATAAAGGAGCCAAAAACATACACTGGAGGAAAGACTATTTCTTTAATAACTGGTGCTGGAAAAACTGGCTATTCACAAGCAGAATATTGAATCTGTACCCATATCTCTCATCAGGTAGTAAACTAAAATCAAAATGACTTAAATGTTAAAAGAGAAAAACTTAATCTGCTAAAAGATTTTTTTACATTTTATTTAAAGAAAGACTAAACAAAAGAGAAAATAGAAATAATACATACATTCAGAGAAAAAATAAACTAAGAAATCACTAGTTGGTGTTTAAATATTGTTGTTTTACAAATAGTTGTTCAAGATACAAAAATGGAACATGTAAGGTTGGGAATTCAAACAGCGAGACTGCAAACAGTTCTGTTCAACTGTCCAACGAAAACTTAGTAACATGGTCGTCAATCTTATACACTTAAATATACATGCAGTTATCCATATCTTCATTTATGTTTAGATTAGACAAACTAAAGCAGGTTAAAATCATTCTGAACAAAGAATAATAGTATTGCTGGATTTCACATCATGACACTCTGGGATCAGCACTGGGTACTGTGGCGTCATTTTTTTTAAAATTGTATTTAAAGAAAGACTAAAAAAACAGAAAATGGGTAGAAACAATATATACTTTCAAAGAAAAAAATAAATAGTAAGAAATCACTAGTTGGTGATTACAGATTGTCCTCTTACAAATAGTTATTCAAGATAAGAAAGTGGAGCATATAAAGTGGGGATTCAAACAGTGAGACTGCAACCAGTTTTGTTCAACTATCCAACAAAAATAGAATTATTAAAAATAGAAATTAGAAATATGGTTATCAATCCTATACACTTAAACAAGCATGCCGTTATCCATATCTTCAATTATGTTGAGATTGAACAAACCCAAGCAGTCTAATATCACTCTGAACAAAGAATAGTAGTATTGCTGGGTTTCACATTATAACCCTCCAGGATCAGCACTGGGTGTTTTAGTGTCTCTTTTCTTCAAAGTATCTGTTCATTTCATCATGTGTCATAAGATCAGTTCTCACAAACTGTTTATAGATTATACACATACATGAGTCTTAACATGTATTTCTATCCTTTCTATATTAGAGGGAGAAACAAAACAAACCAAGGCAAAACAAAATGTATTCCTATAAACCCATGAAACAAAATAAACATATAAAACTCTTGTATAAAGACTTCTACCATGATTCCTATGTTGTCTCTTGTTATCTCCAATAGAATTGGCTATATCATCAGACATAGTATAATTGAATATATCAGTACATAAAAGTCTTAATAAAAACACAACTTTGTATATAGTATAAAACTTCAAAAACCGGCAGTTATCAAATCAGAATGTGTATTTAGAGTCTTGTCATCTTCAGTGTAGTTGCCTATACTCTCAGACCTGATACTATCAATCATATCAGTTTTGAATAAAATCTTCTCTGCTTCATTTCTGTTATGCTCTTTTTTTTGCCATCAGTTGTCTGCTTATCTTCTTCATTCTCATTTTCTGCTCCATTCATTGAGGCCTCTCTGCCACTGTCCTTGAAATTCTAGTACCTTTCTCTCTCTCTAGAATACCCTGCAGTATTCTCTGTAGAGTTGGATTGGTGGTTGTGAATTTCCCATGTTCCTCTTTGTCTTGGAAGCATCTTGTTTCTCCATTAATTTCTAGAGGCAGTTTAGCAAACTATATCAATCTGGGATGGAGGTTATTTTATTTCAGGGCTTAGAATATTTCACTCCAGGCTCTTCTTGACTTAATGGTTTGTGTCGTGAAGTCTGCTGTTATTCTGATGGGCCTTCCTTTATAGGTGATCTGATTCTTGTCTCTAACAGCTTTTAAAATTCTGTTCTTATATTGAATTTCTGGGATCTTCATTATTATATGCCTGGGTGTAGTTCTGGTTCGGTTGTAGGTGGCTGGAGTTCTGTATGCCTCATATATCATAATATCATTTCCTTTTCCTATATGTGGGAAGTCTTCCTTGATTATTTCTGTGAATAACCTTTGTAGTTCCTTTGTTTGTACCCCAGCTTCTTCATTCACATTCTTTATTCTCAAGTTATAGATCCTTTTGTCGTCTTCTAGCCTTTGTATTGTTACTGCCTGTTTCCTTGTTATTTTTAAAAAGTTTTCCCTTTCATACTCCCACGTTGCAAAATTGTCCTCCAGTTTGGATAATCTATCCTTAGTTTCTTTCAAGCTTATTTACCATCTTTCCATAGAATTTTTAATTTCCTGACGATCTCTTTGAATCTGCTTCATGTATTCTATTTTTTTTTTATATTCTTCATCAAATGGTTCTCTCCTTTGTTTGAGTTCCTCCCTTCTTCCGTCTGTGTCTGCTTGAGGGGTGCTTAGTATCTCTTTTATTAATCTTCTTATATCTTGCTTTATTTGGCTAAATATTTCACTTTTAAACTCATCTATGAGGTCCCAAATATATCTCTTTATGTCCACTGGCACTGTGTCTGATATTGCATGTTTGCTGTCCTTATTCTCCTTTGTATTTACCTGTCCTGGGTCAATGTTCTCAGGGTTTGGACCTGGGGACATTTTGTTGTTGCTTCCTCTTCCCATCTTTTTTGCTTCTTCCAGGAGGCCCTGGTTTCTTTCTTTATTGGTTACAATTCTTCTGAAGCATGCTGGCTAGATGACCCTTCACACTGCCATGTGCTAGTGTGATGCAGACAGGGACAGCATATGCTGGCCCCTCCCCTCCATATCAGTCAAGCTGCTGTGGCCTGCACTGTATTACTTTGCGCCACTTCCCCTCCAGATCAGTCAAACTTCTGAGGCTTCACTGGGTTAGTGTAGTTAGTGTGTGCCACCACTGTAGAGACTTGATTTCAGATAACCTATTGGGTCTCAGCCAGGTAGTGACCCAGGTCTAGCTCACTCCACCAATCCCGTTTGGGAAGGGAACGATTAAATGAAGTTACTGCTGCCCCTTGTACTTATCAGTCCTGCCCAGTCCCAGAATGTCATCTGTTGGAGCCCCCCTATTTATGGAATGGCTCCACTCCTGTCACTCACCACAGGTCAATGTAAGCAATTTGCCAACTCAGCTCTCTGTTTGGCTCACCGACCCCGAACTCAATGTAATTGCGCCTCCAGTGAGTCAAAGCGGCGGGACCTCAGACAGCTCAGCAAGTCATGGTGGGACCTCGGCAAGTTGCCGTGGGACTTCAGCAAGTTGTGGCGGGACCTTGGATGGTCGGCAAGTTGCCTTAATTTCTTCTTGGGATGAGAGAATTCATCTCTCTCTGTTTGGGGCTCCCCACTCTGTATTATCTTGAATTCTAAATCAACTATCTCAGGGAGCCTCTGCAGCCAGTTGTTATGTATCTGCCATCATTGCTCCTGCTTTAAGACTTTTTAAAAGGCACTTGCACAACAATGGGAACAACCTACAGATTGAAGAGATAGCCTGCAGAATGGGAAAAAGTTTTGCCAACTATTCCTCAGACAGAGGACTAATACTTAGAATATATAAAGAACTCAAAAACATTTTACTCCTCCAAAATAAAAGGCTTAATAAAAGGTGGAAAACTGAAGTAAATAGATATCTCTAAGAAGATGTACAAATACCCAATAGATACATGAAAAAATATTTAACATCTCTAGATACTACAGAGATATGCAAATGCAATACAGAGATTCCATCTTACTCCAGAAAGAATGGTTGTCATTAAGAACTCAAATAACAGCAAATGCTAGTAAAGGTCATGGTGGGGGAAGGAACCCTTCCACAGCGTCTAAGGGAATGTAAATTACTACAACAACAGTGGAAATCTATATGGGGATTCCTCAAAAATATACGAACTAGAACTTTCATCTAGCTAGTCCCCTTCTAGGTATCATTCTGAAAGAGTTCAAGACATCGTATTACAGTGAGAAACACACACTCTTGTTTATTTATCTAACATAATTCATAATAGCTAAATCTTGGAAGCAGCCTAGCTCCCTATGGGGATGAGAAAATAATGAAAATGTGGTATTTACACCCAATGGAGCACTACTATGCCGTAAAGGAAGATAACTTCAGTCATTTGTAGGAAAATAAACTTTGAGACAGTAAAGTTAAGCTTAAATATTGCATAGTTTCTCTTACATGAGAAACCCAAGCTATAAATAAAGGGAAAAATAAAATATAGATCATAAAAAGTAGGGAGATAGTTCTCTTTCATAATGAAGGAGATCAAGAGATAGAGGGAAGGGAAAGGGGATGAAAAAAGGAGTGATTGTGTTTTATGTACCTGTACCAACTCCACACAAGAAATTTAAACATTATTTACTATAAACATACTAATATATATTTTTAATTATTTGTTAAAATATGACTAAAGTGATTATAGTTATAAGTATTTATAATTTAAATTCAAAGAACTCTAAAAGAACATCTAGTCCAAACTATTCACTTTGTACCTAAGGAAAATGAAACTCAGAGAATGATTTCCCCTGTGTTCATATGGTGGTGAAAGCACAGGTCTACAAACCTGCAATTATTACACTGGATAATGGCATGTCATCCAGTACTAGAAAGAAATGGAAAGATTCAGTCGTTCAACACAGGTACAAACTGTGTGCAAGACCGTAAAGTTGTGTATTGACAAGGATAAACGAAGCAAAGATTAACCCTAATGGATTATAGACTTCCTAAGAAGAAAGTGTAGAATGGGAAGTTGTAGGATTTCAACCTCTTTTTTTTTTTTTTTTTTTTTGCTTTTCCTTGGGAACTGGAAGTTCTTATTGTTGTTACTCTGATTTATTATTCTTTATACAGTATGAACATTGGAAGCTAAGCTCATTGCAGACTGACTACATGAGAAATATCTGAGAAATTCCTGTTTGGAATTGACATGATTGAGACTTTTGGCTATGGCGAACCAAGTCTCCTTCAAAAATAGCTTAACTATCTGGATAAAATATTTGAAAAGAAAATATTAACTTGAGACTTCTGAGAGAACCAAAGCAGCAAGGACTTGAGGACAAAGATCTTTGATAAGAGAGAGGTGAGCATAACATTCAGCTACATTCTTCTCCTAGAAACATTTATTGATTCTTAAGTGATATCTGTGAGTATGGAAATTTATGCAAAAATGTTTGCAGTCTCAAATACTGGGGAAGCAAGAATTGGAGGCAGAGTCACCAAGGAAGAGGAACACTGGTAACACCCTAGGATTTCAGTTTGAAACTAAGGCAAGTTACACTTCAGAGTAAACTTGACTAGAAAGACTTAGCCTTCAAAGAGGAAACCCATCTTCCATTGAACTCAGTTATAGACTAGATCATGATCTTCAGTACGAATTATCCAGTTCTGAGTTACAATCACAGCTCCTTTAGTTTCACCCGAATTCAAACCTTCCTTTATGCTAGAATATTTGACTATGAACTTCAGGCCAACCTGGTATGTAAATATCACTGCAGCTCTTTTGATTTTTAAAATCTAGACTTGTTACAGCTCTTATGACATTGGCCTATCCTCCCCCAACCCAAGACTTAGTGGTACCAAATGTTGATCCTTCTGTGGGTTTATTTACACATTGCATTATCTAGCTTTACTATCTAAGAAGCTGAAGTTAGCTGGGGATTTAGCTCAGTGGCAGAAGTGCCTGCCTTGCAAGTAGGCAGTCATGAGTTCGATCCCCAGTACTGATAAAAACAAAAAAGACAAAAAAAAAAAGAAGCTGAAGTTATTTTTTGGTGATGTTGAGTGAGACAAATTATTTTTATTAATCCACTCAACAAACACTTTTTGAATACCAAATACAATAAAACTCTCATAAGACGCTTGGAGATTACATCCCATCCTCCACTTCCCCCATTCTCAAATGTAGCAGACTAAATTTCTTATTATTTGAGAAAAGAGAGAGAATGTGGAAATAAGGATAAGGCAGAATAAAGAATACTAGGGAAACCAAAAGGCTCTGAAAGTAAGGACAGTAAATCACAGAATCTTCACTATTTTTCTGAACCTATTTGAGTTGGGTCAACAAATGGATACTGCTAATGAACATGTTCTGGAATCACTTTTCTTGCCCTACAAATCCCAACAAGATTGTGAGCAAAAGAAAACAGAAGCTTCCCCACAAATATTTAAGCCAGAACAGATAACTGCCATCAGAAGTTGCCAAAACTCAGTCAGGTGACGATGAATTTATGTAGAAGCCCCTGTCCTGGCTGGCTTCAGTTATCTCCTTACTTGAATTAATGTGACCTCTCAGTTTTTAATATTGAATGTGTGTTTACTACTTAATCAAAGATCAGCAAAATTTTATTAATATTCATTTTAACTAATGTTCTCAAGAAATGTACACTTTACTGGTGACACCAAATTTATCAATAATTAGCACCCAATTTAATGAATTTCATAATAGAAGGAGGGCAGAACACAAGCATGCAAACTAAATAGGGGGATCAGTAACTTTTTCTTTTTCATGTCTTTTCAAGAGACTGGAATTATTATATTTATTGTAAGTACTTTCAGATTTTGAACAAGTTTTCGAGAATAATTGATTTTATATCTTTGTGGGACCAACAAATAAGTGTAATGAAACAAATACTATACATGCATTACCACTATTTTTAATGAAGCATGATTTCCCTTCATTAATTATAATCAGCATTATCATTATTGTGCTTTTTTATGTTAGTTGTCCTTCAGTTAAAGTTAGAGACAAATGAGGTATATTGTTAAACTAAGTTAATTAATTCATAAGCAGGTTAAACATGAATTCCATTTGAGTAGGCCAGTGGAAACGAAGACCAGTTAGTTTAAGGACATTATGAAAACCATTAAATTTAAAACTCACAGGAGAAGGAAAAGTTCCCTCGGGGCCAAAGGTTTTGTATTTCCAAAAATAGAAGAAATGGCAACAGCCCAAATCATATACTTGTAAGTATAATATTTTATAAGGCAGCTGAAAGGACTCAGTGGAGAAGCCTGTTCAAGGTTGAGTTTTTTTTTTTTTAATTTAAGAGGAAAAAGAGAAAAACACAAAACAAAACAAAGCAGTGTAAGGTTACACATAATACAGAACTACAATAAAAAAACATAACAGTAAGAAATCACCTGTGAGTTTTATGACAGTTAATTGTGTCAAGTTGATTGAGCTACAGGATAACTGGATAACTCATAAAACATTACTTTCACATGTGCCTGTGATTGTGCTTTGGGAAGAGATTCGCACTCTAATCGATAAAGTAAACAAGATGTGCCCTTTCCCCTTGTAGGTAGATATCATTCAATCCACTCATGGTCCAAGTAGAACAACAACTCAAAAAAAGTAGAAGAGTAAATATTTTCTCTTCTTAAGCAGAGATCACCATCTCCAGCTCTCAGGCATTGGACCCCCTAGTTTTCAGATTTACACGTACTAGGGTTTACATCAATATTCTACCCCTACTCCATCTCAGTCCTATCCTCGGGCCTTCAGCCTGAGGCTGAGCCACACCATCAGCACCGTGCCTTTAGGCTGGAACTAAAGTGTATTACCAGCTTTCCTGGTTCTCCAGCTTGCAAATGGCATGTAGTTGGATCTCTTAGTCGCTGCAATCACGTGAGCCAATTCCCATAGCAAATATCCTATCTACCAATCGATCTATTTATCCACCCACCCACCCATCCATCCATCTATCCATTTGTTCTACTGATTTTGATCCTAAATAGATCCTAAAACAATCTATTATGGATGGTATAAGATGAAGGAAAATTGGAGACCAAAAACTGCCACACACTATTACTTTCATTAACATTCTCAGTGCCCTTTCACAGTCCTTCCTCCGGCCCTTCTTCCAGTATACTTTAAGCACTCCACAAAACATCAGCTAACTAGTCTCATTAAAAGGAAATTTCCTATCCCAAGGAATGGTAACAATAGGGTTTCAAAAATGCAATTTACAAGCATAAATTTATAGCAGGAAACATGAAAGGAACTGGGTCATGCATAAACCATGAGACATAGCTGCCAGAACCCTTTTCTTAAAAGGTTGGATCTAATTATACAGAGAGCCATAAAAGGGACAGAGTTAGTACGAATGGCCCCAAGAATTTCACATTATCAAGACTAAGGGAGAAGGGTTAGAGAAAGACTTTAGTGTTTCTCTAAATAGAAATAACCCCAGTTTGGCAATGAGCTATGTGTCCCTTATCTTTGTCATCCTCTGGGTCCTGGTCCTTTTCATGTTCTTTCATATTTACATTGTTTGTCTCTGCTTCTTTTATCCAAGTATTCCTCTGACTAATTATACTTTTAACTTTAATGGACAAGTGAAGTACAATATCTTCCACCCCCATTTCAGAGCAGACATCTTTTTTCCTATCCTTTCATTTCAGGGCTGGTCCAGTAAAGGACATTGAGCTTAAAATAATGCAATGTCTGCCTTCACTAATCCTCAGTTCACAGCACAGTGGTAGACTCATGTTTCTTCTCCTTATTCCCTTATTCAAAGAAAGCAAATAATGTTACCAGGTCATGAGTTCTAGGCTGACCCATTGTCTCTATCTGTGTACTTTCCAAAGGATGGAGCCACCTAACAGAACCAATGCAGGCTTTTTGATACAAGTAGATGTGGATGTAAATCCTTATTGGGCCATTTCTTCCTTTTTCTTTCTTTTATCCTCTAGCTAGGGATAAATGAATAGAATAACATTTTCTATCCAAACATTCTCCCAGTTTCAATGTTTCAAAGTTTAAATTACCAGAGCAGAAAATATACCCTGAACTGAACTCAACAATTTGGAACGTGCCATTTCTTTACACAATGACTTTGGATAAGTAAGTTAATATGTTTAACTCCAGGACTGGGGTTGTAACTCAATGATAGGTACAGCACTTGCCTAGAATGAGCAAGGCTCTGGGTTCAATTCTCAATACCAGGATGGGGAAAATAGATATAATACGTGTGTGTGTGTGTAGATGAATAAAAGAGCTACTTTACAGGGCTTACATGGTGATTAGATGAAAGGATATATGTAAAGTTGCCAGCCATATAATGTACATTTAATAAGTGCTAACTATAGAAAAGAGACTCCTCAACTTTCATTAGGAAATTGATATTAACAACTACATATGTTTAACTCTTAATCTATAGCTGTTTAATGAGGAATACATTGTGTCAATCCCAGATAGCATGCAGGGTGGATAAAAGCACAACTTCCTGCTTATAATTTCTACCAACAGGTTGTGTTCCCTTTCTTTACAGTCAGATCACCGACCCAAATAGCTGATGAACTGACAGAGCTGAACTGTTCTCTCTGCTCCCGTAACTGACCGAGCCGTTTCTCAACCTACTGTCACCCGCCCTCCACGTAGAATTTGGAGAGGGAAGCTGGCCATCTTCAAGAGAGGAAGTTCGGAAATGGGGATTCCCTCCCTCCCCACTTCCACCGTCCAGCCTCTGGTATCATCGTTCTATTCCCTACTTCTGTGAGCTCAATTTATTAGACTCTGCATTATAAGTGAGTTCACATAGTATTTGTCTTTCTGTACTTGGATTATTTCATTTACTATAATGTTTTCCAGATTGACCCATATTGACACAAATTGACAGAATTTCTCCCTTTATAATACTAAATAATATTTCATTGTATATAGCCCATTTTTCTTTCTTTTTTTCTTATTCTCTCTCTCTCCTCTCTCCCTTTCTTCCCTCTTGAGACCACATCTTACTATGTTGCCCAAACTGGTCTTAACTTCCTAAGTTGTAGTAAGCCTCCTGCTTCAGTCTCCCATGTAGCTGAGTGACTAGAGGCACTCAGCCCCAAACTCAGCTTACTTCCCAATTTTACCCATTCATTTGCTGATGAACACTTAGGTTGTTTCCATATCCTGGCTATTGTAAAAAAAAAAAAAAAAAAAAAAAAAAAGGTTACAAAATTTCAGACCGACAGAAGGGATAGGTTTTGATCTCAGCTGTACACTTGGTTGTCTATAATGATAAGGTATTACATATTTTAAAATAACTAAGAGAGTAGGTTTTAAATGTATCACTAGAAAAAGCAACAGATATATGAGGTAATGAATATGTTAATTAGCTTGGTTTCATTATGCTACATTGTTTACACACATCAAAACATTGTTTCCCATGATATTTATAATTATTGGTCAATAAAAGGTAATATTAATAAAAGTTCAAAATAATTTTTTAAAAATATAAAGAGAAAGAGAAGTTCAGGCAGAAACAGTGTCCCAGGCTTTACACAGAAGCAATCATGTCAACTCAGAGACTGACCACAATTCTAGAAGAAGGATTAAGAATGTGTGGTTTGCACTTTACAGTTTTCATTTATTACTACTTTTAACATCCCAAGAAAGGCAGCTTTTTCATTATATGCACATTCTGTGTGCCTCCTTCATGATGGTACAATTAACTAAATGATGACTGTTACATTAGTTCTTCAATATCCACCTCCAAGGGAACAAGGACCTTCTCTAACTGTTCAGCTTTGTATTTTCAGCTCCTATCCCGGTACCTGGCACAGAGAGTAGGCACTCGATAAATATTTGTTAAATGAAAAGAATATGTAACACTCACCTACCCATTACTCTCTCCTAGAATACTTTTTTTTAATTTTATTTAAGAAGAAAAAAGAAAAAAACTGAAAAAGAGTACAAGTTATACAAAATTTCAGAAAAAATAAACAGTAGGAAATCACTAGTTAATTATATATTGTCATCTTAGAAATAGTTGTTGAAGTTACAAAATTAAAGCATATAGAGGGGACTTTCAAACAGTGAGACTGAAAACAGTTTTGTTCAATGATCCAACAAAACTCAGTAATGTGGTTATCTATCTTATACACTTAAATATATATGCAGTTATATCTTTTAGAGAACTTTTCCTTTCTTTTGTACAATGACAATTACACATTTTGGGTTTTATTGCTCCTACAGTTCTTATTACTTTTTTTTTTGAAGAAAGTAAAACCAAATGTGATATACCAGGACAGAGTCAGTCAAATCAAAAGGATGGACATAATACATAATGTAAAAACAAAATACAAGGTGATCAACAATGGTTACCATAATGCCTCTTGTTATCTTAAAAAGAATTGCCTATACCATCAGTTATAATAAAATTGAACAAAACAGTAAAGAATAAGACCAATAAAACCAAAACATTGGAGACATTAAAGGACTTCAAAAGAAGATAATAGTCAACCAGAATGGGCATCACAATGAATCTTATTGTCTTTACAGTTGTTGCCTATATTTTCAAACTTGGTACTATCAAGCATAACAGAATAGTGGAAAATCAGTCAAAACAAGATGGTGAGAGCAACACAGAGTTTCAAATCAAGTTAATAGGAAATCAAAGTGGGTTACTATAATATATCCTATTTTTTATTTATTTTTCCCTTAATTAAAAGGATAAAAATGAAAAAGTAGATAATAAAAAGGAGATTGAGATAAAAAAAGAGGGCATAACAGCAAAACAGCACAGGTCAAAACATAACCATTTAAGCAAAATAGTGTTTCACCACAAGATAATCTTGACATAAAAGTAGTTACCATAGTGTCTCTTCCCTTAAAATCTTTGGGTATAACTTCGTATACTGTAGCATCAAACATATCAAGACAATGTAAAACTGTTCAAGAGAATGACAGTATTACAGGGTATTTATAATCAACTAACAGAAAATGAACAATGGTTTCTGTATAATCTCCTTGTCTATAAAAGTTTTTGTTTATATTATCACATATAAGAAAATCCAATAAGATACAACACATTAAAACCGATGGAGACAGAAGAACAAAAGCTTGATGGAACTTCAAAACAAGAGGATATTAAATCAGCACTACCTATTATGATGTCTTGTTTTCTCCAAAATGGCTGTTCCTACCATCCAACCTTCTTTGCCTCATTTCTGTTGAGCTCTTTTTCTGTCATTAGTTGTCAGTTTGTCCTCTTCATTTCGCTTTCTGCTGCATTCATTGTGGCCTCTCTGCCACTGTTTCTGGAATCTTGGTATTTTTCATTTTTAGAATATCCTGCAGTAATCTCTGTAGAGTTGAATTGGTGGTTGCAAATTCCCCTAGTTCCTCTTTATCCTGGAAGCACCTTGTTTTTCCATCCTAGAATACTCTTAATAGACTAACAAGCTTAATTGGAGAGCTAATCTACTGCCAAAGCAAATATCATGACATTTTCCAGAGTCAAAGTCAATGTCCTTTTGAGTACACCAGGCTACTGCTTCACACATAATCAGAAAAGGACTACAGGTACCCGTAACTCTCACAGAAATAAATCATCATCCCATTTAGGAAGTCAGCAGCCATTTCCTTCTCAACCCCATGCCATCAGATTCACTTAAACAGTTGCCAACCACAGTAGGCTGTTTCTTCAGATTAATTCTTCTCACTTCTTTAGACAGATTGTTGGCACAACTCTCTCATTCTGAACTTTTTCATTCTTCAAAATTCTTCTCCTAGAAGATAGTGATATGATTAGAGACTGGCATATCAAAGTAGCCCAGAACCTAGAATTCATAATATATATATATATTGGAAAAATTATAGAAACATGTATCAGCTTTACGTAGCTTGTTCTTTCCTGACTGCTACCTATGACTTTTTATTTTTTGCCCCTTTGAAATTTTCTTGTTAGAGACTCCAGAAATAAACAGGGACATGTGGCAAAAGCCCTGAGATGCGCTCTATTCCTGGCCTTCCCACACACTCACTGCAGCTGTACCCAAGGCTTCCAGCACTGTCAAATGACACATCGATACACTGTCTGTGCCCTGTCCCATCAGGCAACGCCAAAGATGCTTTGATTAAGTTTTATTTTAAATACAGTTGGTTTTTGGGTAGAGTATAGATCGTGCCTTTGCATTTTCAGGGCAGGGCACATTGTCTCTTTTGCCTATTTTTCCACCTGAAACATTAGTGTGACAATAAAATCTTTCTTGGTAAATTGATATGTACCAAAATACAAACTCTACAGGACCACTGCTGAAATAGCATGAAGTACTTTAACATAATCTGCTTTAAGGATTCTGCAACCTATCTTGCACCTCAAACAGCTCTCCCTTGACCAGGTTCTGAGTCCCTAAACCTAGTATTAACTAGCTGTACCGAGCAACAAATGCAGATTCAACTTAGTGCAAACTAAGCCAAATAAGAAAGTAACTTTGCTACTGAATCATGTATCATAGCATTCTAGAGTCAACTGCAGATCACTTTTGGATAATCCAGGCCACAGCTCACAGTCAGTGATGATGGCAGATCTTCCTTGAGTACTTACCATGTGCCAGAAACTCTTTGCAGGACGATACATAAATTAGCTATCAGTACAGTACTAACACGTATCACATGACATATGAGGTAGGTGATAATGTTAACTGTGTTTTTAAAATTTGTTCACTTATTTATTGATTTTAATGTGCCACTGAGGATTAAACCCAGGGCCTTGCCGTGCTAAGCACATGCTCTACCACTAAGCTGTATCCCCTACCCATAAGCTACATTTTATATGTGAGGAAACTGAGGTGTTCAAATGGTTTTCCTGAAATCTTACAGTTTATAAATTGTAAAGTCCAGATTTTAGCTAGCTGGCTTAGCCTTTCGACTGTACTGCATTTTAAGATAATGACAGCAATCATTTGTGTACCAGCCACTGGACCAAGTACTTAACATAGATTATCTCATTAAATCCCCATAACAGACATCTTTATCTACAAATAATAAAACTAAGACTTATAAAAGCTAATTTGCCAATATTTCAGAGCCTGATTATAGAG